ACAGCACATACGCCTACCAAATTATGGGAGTGTGCAGCACATGGAATTTGATGTGCAAGATGACTGATATTGATAGTATGTGCTCGAATATTTTTGTAGCATCCTGACATGTTCGATGAGTTGTCATGAGACCGTCCTGTTAGATACATCAATTCCAATTTGTTCAAAGAATTTCAAAGCAATGTTGGCTGAAGCTTCTCCATGTGGCTTGCAATGGGAATGATACTGAGCAAACGTTCCACAACTTTATCATCAATGTTGAAATATTGCGAAGAACTACAGTCAGCGAAGCAGTGTGAGGGTTGCCTCATGTTGAATTAACACTTCCAGAAAAGCACCTGGCTTCCTTGATTTCTTCTACAATGGTTTTCAATGCGTTATTTCCCATAATTTCTATTGAACATAGATATGAAGCTTTCCTTTGTCCTTGGTTACCATATTTTTCTATAAAATGCTAAGAAACCGATCATACTCGGCAAGTGATTCAACTATATCAAAGTAGTTACCATTCTGTCCAGAATTTAGCACTCTGTTTCATCACAAGATGTCAATCCATGACACGAGTAAAAGTATGTAGCAGAAACTACTCTTTGCAGTACTTTTGCCCAGTATTTTTTTCCTTCGTTAATTGGATTTCCAATATTAAGTTAATTCGTGAAGCTGCTTTTTGTCTAGAAATCTATGTTATCACAGAGGTCTGATGTTATTCTTGTGGAGACATGTTTCCAGTTTGAAAATCTACCATCAGTAAACCTGGGTTTCGATCTATGCATACCATAAAGTTGAACGCAAGCAAAGCAATATTTATTGCTGATGAGGACGAATACATTAAAGATTTCCTTTTAATTTTATCGCAAGTTATATGTTTATAAAATATCAATGAATGATAATTTTTCTCTGATCGAAGTATCGCATTTCGGATAAGAAAAGTCATCATCATAAAATGGCATTCGCAGAACCTTGTTTTCACCACACGTCACTTTCCTCCTTTTTTATATTTGAGTTCGTCCAAACCAAAGTCATTTTCATATTCGGATTCCAGGTGGTCTTTTTTATGGTGGACAAGCTCAGCACCATCTGTTCTGCATTCGCATAATCACAGACTACTTGAACTCCTAGTGCCTCAGTCATTTTGCCATCATTGGATGCATTTGCTTTCTGCTCCGTTTGCTGTTCTGCTGCTGCCTTGCGTTTAAACCTAGGATCAAATACGTTTGGAGATTGACTGTGAGCAGCTCTACATATTTCCTCGTTTTTTCTTGTTGTCTTTTTCTTTTGTTTGCTTCAACCTCATACTTATTATCAGACAAGATTAATCTGAAAGGGTGAAACAATTGCGAAATACGGATTTGACTGAATTGCATTTATTCAGCTTTCTGGCTGACAGAACTTGACGGAACCGGCCAGAGGCGCAAACAAGAATAGAGATTACCGAGGCATATGGCTTGGCGAAGCTCAGAGCGCCTCTGCCTCAGAGAGGCACTAGTCGAAACCAGAACAGATGTGGCTCAAAGTGATCCCTAGCTGAAGAATAGGTAGGTTCTAGCTTCAAATCACTGTCCTCAAATCATTATTGGCCTTGACTGAAGGAAGGTTAATATTTAATAATACACTGACAAAATTGCACATCATTGATGTTAAACATAATTTGGCCATCGTTAAAACTTGGTAAAATAAAATTCATGCAAAAGGCAAGGTAGGAACTTCCCGCTAGGAGCTTGGCAAGTTGACACCATAATGTAAAATCTTTGCAAACCGAATAACGCCGGTCTTATTAGCATCCGCTGTTAAATCTTTATCAAAAATTAATTTCAGTGGTTTATCATATACGTGATTTAATAGCATACTATAATTATAAACACTGTGAACACCAATACCAGTTTTGTCATATTTAAAAACACTAAACAATGTCGTTAGAGAGAAAGTTTTTCGGGTTCCAACCATGACGTCATATGACGTATGACGAAATCTGTTTAACTTTTTATTGGCGAAAGCCCCTTGGCTGTAGCCCCTAAAACTCTTGTCTTAATCCCGGTCTGATAGTACTTTATTCGCAACTTGTATACACACGAGTAATAGTGAACTGAAGAATATATTCCTAATTATTAAGTTAATTAATAAGTTGTAAGTTGCTATGGTTACTGTGGTAAAAGCATGTTCACAGCATGTGTGCCAGCAGGTAGGGTTCTTGAACAGCAAACAATGAAAAGATGGAAATTGATAAAAGCAATCAAAGTTCAGCTAGGCCATTTTTCCTTGTACTAGTATTCACTAGTCGGTCGTCAGAGACGAATATCCTCAGCGGTTTCTAAGAAAGATTATCGAAGACGAATCACATTCGCTTTCTTAAGCATCCATGATATCAAGCGGTGCTTTTCTCACAGGAAAATTTCGTGGATATTTAGAAATTTGGTATAAATTATTTGTCGCAAATACTTATATTAATTAGTTAATTCATGTTTTGGCTATGATGCATATTAAAATTATGGCATACTAGTTTGTATGTTCATATCGTCCACGAATCGAGGCAAATTGGTTAGTGCTCATTCCCACATACTGATACTGTGTGCATCCAAGCACTGCAGGTGCGATAGCACAATGGCGTCATTACCTGCTCAAACGGTTCCATAGGATTTTTTAATTACTATTTTTTTAAGCCGTTTTAATACGAATTCAGGAGAAAAAGCAGGTGATCACCGTTGAACTCGAGGCAAGACCAGTCTCGATGCGTTTAGTAACCCGGATTCGGAAGACTCACCTGGATTCGTGATCTTCGTTGTGTACTGTGTGGAGGTATTTGTTTGTCTCTGTATAAGTGCGCTTGTGTGGCTGGATGGAACACGAGAGGAATAATTCATAAGATATGCATAAAATTGGCTAGTTTGATAGCCGACATCAAAGAATAGCCGTAGCGTACAGTTTTAAATTAAATCAACCGTATTTAAACACTGCGAAGTAACATTGTACTTCTTTACCATTCCTCACCTCAGAAGTGACAATCAGGGATATACAAGCATAATCACAATAAAATAAATTAAACCAATAAAGCAAGGAAAATTACAAACAGTTAGGTCTAAACAGGTAAAAGTGCTATCATACGAATATTTTGATTGAAAGACGTACGGATCTATTTCAGATAGAATTATGGAATTCTCAGATGCCATGTTGTGATAACGTTCAAAATATTCCACGACTGTGATGCCTTCCTTTGAGTGTTAACGTTTTTCCCATAGTAACGACGTCGACAATATAGGCTACCAAAATAGCAGGTTCTGTCCTCTTACTAAAGATTTCTGTATATATTGCTTAATGATGAAACGTTCTGCATTAATTATGTAAGATTGTTTGAGTGATTTTCTAAATTGAGATTCATAACATAATTCTCCTTTCCATGCACAACCTATGTCACATCCTATCCTCTCGTTTGTTCATTCATTTATTCATCAAACTCTTCATTCGTTCTTTCACTCAAACATTCATGCGTTCATTTTCAAAGAGAGTTTCTTCTTTCCTCACCGCTGCAGTAGTAACCTCTACGTATTCTTCTAATGGTTTTTTTCTCTGTCAAAAATAGAATTTCTGCACGAGATTCCACCCTGTGTCGAATGTCCATCATGAAACAGACGTGTCAGCAAAACTAAAAGTTTTATCCAAAGTCGGCCCAAAATCTGACAAAGGCGGGGGAGGGGAAGCGAACTTCAAAGCATGAAGTTTTCAATATTCTGTTGCTGTTCTGGAATTATTTGACGCACAGAGCTTGAAACTTTTGTTTTCCAGTTCTGGTGTTGACTCTGGTCTATGACTGGTAAACAATTGCAAAAACATTGAATAGTTAATACGTTCTATAAACATCATTTGGATGTGTTTCTGTTAGCAGTTGTATTTTTTTGTTTATTTTTAAATAGGTGCATGATTTTCAACTTTTCTGTCTTTGCTGCAAAGCTAAATAATCTAACAGTCATGTTCCAGCAGTAGCTTTCAGCTCCATCTTTTATCCGCTCATGTGCGATTATGTGGAAATCACAAATACCACATCTAAAGATAATCAAGTACCTTAATTGCGCTATGGTTCTGTGATTATCCGTGTTGTTTATGCGTTAGAGTACGAAAACAGGTGCACTTCAACAAATTGACAGTTCATGTTCAAATACTTATTCGGCCTTCATTTAAGGGCCGGATTATTGGGGTCTTGTGAATCGCGATTGGTGGATGTGTTCGCATGGCAAACAGCAGTCTCCTATCGACATAGACCCAAAGGTGCTGTTGTTCGACCCGAACCTAAAGCCGCTGTACGTCGACAAAGTTAGAGTTAGTCCAGACTTGACTCGTCATTTCAACTCTAATAACTGCCTCTTTCAGGTCAATGGAACTCTGGAAAATACGGGTCAATATTTGACTTTCGAAGTTGACGAAAAATCAGGATTTCCGGTATTCATTTCCGGCGGACCGTTAGGAGCCTACAAATACCAGGCTTTCAAGATCATTCTGCACTTTGGTGACAAAGAGAATTTTGGTTCTGAGCATACGATCGACGGAGAACATTTCTCCGGAGAGGTAAGCGAATTTCACTCGCGAAATTCTCTTATCACTCACTTTCTAATGAATAAGGACAAGAAGCTATTTCGAAAGAAACTTATCCATGCATAAATATCAATAAACTAAATACATTGTTCTACATTGCAGTTCCAAGTGCCATCAACAGGTTCTTAATAATGACAAATGAATAAGGAACCTGTTAAAAATCAGAACAAATATTTATTTCAGAATTTGGACGAGATTTTGAACCCTGAACAGTGC